GCTTATAAACAACAGAAATTTATTACTCACAGTTCTAGAGACTGGGAAGTCTAAGATCAAGGTGGCGGCAGAGTTGGTATCTGGGGCTGACCCACTCCCTGGTTCATTGATGACGACTTCCCGCTGTGTCACCAGGTAGTGGGAGGGGCAAGGGAGCTAGCTTTATGAAGTCTCTTTTATAAGGGCACTAATCCTGTTCATCAGGGCCCTGCCCTTATGACCTAATCACTTTCTGGAGACCCCACCGTTTAATGACACCACTTCAGGGGTTAGGATTTCAACATATGGATTTGGAGGGGGTCAAGATATTCATACCACAGCAATGAAGAATAAGCTTGTGACAGAGCCTTTCCAAACCACAGGAAACTCTTACTGCTGTTACTAATGAACAAAAGGGAGAAACTATATTGAAGAAAATATATTTGAATTTTAGTCTCAAAATTGAAGACTAGGGAATATAGAAAACATCAACTCTAAGACAAATTTAATAGTATATTTTGGATTATTAGAGAACAAGGGAGGCTCCCCAGAACCTTATAGCAATTGTCTACTTTACATCTTTGTATCCCCAAAGTGAGATGATCATAATTTTCAAGACAACTCATGATTTCCCCCAGTCAAACCTGTTTTGGTTTCCCCTGTCTTAGCATACTACCCCAATGTCATTCCAGTTGATTCTCTATACTGTAGCCAGAGCAACCTTTTCAAAACTCAAGTTGAATCCTCTCCACCTCTGGGTTTATTCCTTCTTCTACTCAAGCTAAGCTTGTCTTCCTCTAATTTTTCTCTTGTTACAGGGCCTTTGCACATGCCATTTTTATGTCTAGAATGCTGGGTCCCCTGCGCTGCTCTAGCCCCCAACCCCTGTACCCAATTTAACTTTGGCTTTCATTTCAAACATCACTGGAAATGACTTTAAGAGGTCAGAATGTCATTAGCATAGTCTTTTAGTCTCTTTTGTAACAGTTATCAATGTAGTATTTTAGTTGTTTTATATAAGCAAGACATACAGTTTCCATCCTTGGGAGGCTTACATTGTAGTTGGAAGCTGGGGGAGACATTAATAATATATGCAGAAGCTCCTTTATCTGACTATTGGATAGACAATTAGTGGGTTAATTAAAAGTCAAATACATCAGGAAATTATCTTTGATAGAACAATCTATTCATTTTGACTTAAAACATAAATATGCATGTATGGATTGCTAATTGGTATTCTCTCAGGTCTTTTGTTGTTTATAGTATACCTAACTTATACTCTGTTGTTTTCATTTGGAATATATTCTTAAAAAGTTGAACAAGAGCCTGCGCGTGGCGCACGCCTGTGGCTTAGGAGTCTGAGGCAGGAGGATGGAGAGTGCAGAGCCAGCTTCAGCAAAAGCCAGGTGCTAAGCAACTCAGTGAGACCCTGACTCTAAATAAAATACAAAACAGGGCTGGGATGTGGCTCAGTGGTCGAGTGCCCCTGAGTTCAATCCCCAGTACAAAAAAAAAAAGTTGAGAACTTTGAAACCATACAAATATAGGATCTTTGATTTTTAGTTATTTTTTCCTTTTTTCCTACCCTCTCACACTTGCCTTACCCACACCTGTTCTGGCAGCCATTTTCCCAGACACCCATATTTATTATTCTTAATGGTGGCTGTGGGGTTATGTTGGCGTGTGTTGGAATAAGGCAGCTTCACACTGGTGAGCACCCAGGAGGGCCAAGGAAGGGCCCCACAGCCAATGGCTTCTTCCACAGTTGTCCCCAGTGCTCCCATGAGTGCATGCTGTTTGCCCTGTTGGCCATGAGTGAGGTGATTGTGGTCAACACAAGCCCCAGTGCCCTGTGCCTGGTCCCACATTTCCCAGAAGTCTGTGTGTTTGTTCTGGTGGAAGTTATTTCCTTGTGTTTCAGGGCAGAGGGGTTAAACTACAAGATGTTCCCTAGTTGCTTTCTTTTCCTCACGTCCACAGCCCCTCAGATTCTCTGGTATCTCTTGGAGTATTTGACTCAGCAGGCGTTTTCTTTGTTTATTTTAAGGGGGACTGGAGTACAAATGTCAGGGGCTCTACTGACCTTACATTCCACTGTGCTGGGCGTGCTGCAGCCAGACCAGCTGCTGTTTCACGTGGTGCACCCCAGACTTCCTCATCAACACTCTGCTTGCACCATAGCCCGGGGCTCCTTCCAAGGACAGCAGGTCACAGGCCTCTGTCCCTTCTCCTGTGATCCATGCAAGCTTAATGTCAAGTGGGAAACCTTTTCCTAGAGGAGGAGCAATTAGCTGCTGTTACTCCTGGCCCCTTAGGGGGGAAGACTGCATCCTTCTTTCTCTGACCTCCTTTTAGTTGGGGGTGCCATACCTCTTATTGCATCAGGGATGGTGATAACAGAGAACATTCCTTGAATAATTAGCTGCTTTATCTGCTACCAAATTTCTGTTGTGTTTGCAGCTTATCTGTTTACATGTCTGTGTTTCTCCATAACCTATGAGCCTCCAGAAGGCAGTGTGTAAAAGGGGCTTTAGAGCCAGATGGACCTGGATTCAGATTCTGGCTTTGCCATTTACCAGCTGTTCTAACCATAGGCAAATACCTTTAAAGTTTTTGTGCCTCTGTTTCCTTCTGGGCACAATAGGGTAATAATACAGATGCACCTTCACTTACAACCCAGTTGTATCCTTGATAACACCATGGTAAATCGGAAATACTGTAAAAAATGCACTGAATACATCTAACCAGCTCAACATTATAGTTTAGCCTCGTCTATCTTAAACGTGCCCAGAACATTTAACTTAGCCTCCAGTTGGGCAGAATCAGTGGAGACAAAACTTATTAATAATAAAGTGTTAAATATACATGTAATTTATTGAATACCACATTAAAAACAAAAACCAGAAAAGATGTATGAGCTTGCTGTTAGAAATACTGGGGTGCCACCAGGACTCAAAAATGTGCTTGGAGTAGCCCAGCCAGGCCAGCTTTACATCTGCAGAAGGGTGTGTGCCTCAAGCAAGCACGTTGCCTCCCCCCCCCCCCCCCCCAGTCCGGTTTTTATCCCTAATGCTGCACTGCCTCTTGCTCTGATAGGAGGAGCTTGGGGTTACAATCTATGCAATTGGCTATTTTAAAAATTGGGGCGGGCACAGGAAAGGGCGATAGTTAAAATGGTTACAACCGAATCTCCAAATGGCTAGGATTAGATCTCATATCCCAATTTAGATCTCATTTCCCAATTAAGACTCAACACTATATTCTGAAAATGGACCACTAGACTTTCTATTTCTCACAATGCTTTGACATCATCATAAATTGAAAGTTTTTAAGTCAGGGACCATCTGGAACAACTTCCTTATAGGAATTTTGTGCATATTTTTAAAAGATATAGCATAGAAGTGATTTATCACAGTGCCTGGTTTGTCACAAGCAGTCACTAAAGGTTGACTGTGAGGCTGCTGCTCATATTCAAGTCCCAGCACTGTGTTAGTTTCTGTAAGTATTGTTGAATGAATTGATGTAGTGAGTAAGGTCTGAAGTACTTGTTAGCCCCTGGAAGCATTGAAATGCTAGATCTAGATCTGGTCTTGGATGGGGTGCCTGCCCCTGCCCATAAAATGAAGCCCATCTCTTGAGCAGATACCCTTCCAGAAGAGCAGTTCACTGAGTTGGGGTTATTGTGGGATTATTGTGTTATACTATATGGTAATAGCATCACTTATTTTATTCATTGTTTATTCATTATTAATGAAGAAGATAGGGGAATGGGCCCCCAAAGAGGCTTCTCTAAATGAATAGGTTGTTCCTTGAAATTAACCTGTAGAAACATTCCAAATTTATCTGCAAACTCCTTGTCCTGGGGCAGCAGAAAAAGGGAGGTGGGACAGATATGAGTGAAGGCTACAGACTCAGGACTAACCAATTAGAATGTTTCAGGCTGGTCCAATAGCTATAACACTTTCCCCGTACCTGATCAGCATAGACATTGACCAATTAACCTTGGTACTTTTTCAATACCTGATAGCATAGATATTGACCAATAGCTTTGGTACTTTTCCAATACCCAATTAACACAGTATTGATTAGTGCCCTTACCCAGTAAATCCCTAGACTAGCACACTTAACTACAGTCCCTGTTGGGCTTTGTTTCACCCTGGGAAAGCTCTATTTTCTTCTCACTTTGATGAGTCCTACTCTTTTATACTCATGTGTCCTTGTCTGTGGTTTTTCATTCTTCCAGTTGACAAGACAACCTGTAGAGAAGTCACTGGAAGGCAGCAGGGGTCTGCTGTAATACTACAGCAGCAGAGGCTGAAAATGCGGTTTCTTTTGGGAACCTGAATTAGTGCATCAGACGCATTTCTAACAGATGGGGGAAGCAGTTTGCAACCTTAAGTGATATGCATTGTATGTAAAATGAGGATTTTGCTTTTCTTGAGGAGAACGAGATTCCACACTGTAATGAAAAAGCAGTTCCTGGTGTGTCCACAATTGAATCAAAGAAATGCGCCCTTCAGAAGTCCTTGAAGATTCCCTGAAACAGAATTCCGGCAATGCCAGGTTAACGGTTGAAGTCAACATATGACCACCCTGCTGAAGTTCTAGAATTTATTTTTAAAAATTCATTATTTTTATTTTAGTGGTTCTTTTTGTTGTGAATCCATGGAACTGTTTGATATATCCTAGGTAAAGAGTCTTTTTATAATTTTACTGACCAAATTAAAATCACCAGCCTTGAAAAAAAAAATTAGATTTGTTTTCTTTCCTGGCCTGCAGCAAGCCCTCTCCCATTTCCAACTGTGGGGTCAATAGTGCTAGATAGCTGGCACAATGACAGGGCTGTAGAAAGGACATCTGCCTCTGTGGCTCTCACAATGAATAAAGACCACATCTCACTTAAGGAGTCCATCAGGGATATTCAGACAATCCCTGTGTTAGGTGCCTCTGACACCAACTGCCTTTTTTTTTAAAACATAAAGCAGCAAAGATATTATTGTGGTTTTTCCTCCTCTTTTCAGATCTGATGTTTTGACTTGGCTTCCTGCTTCAATTCTGTTTGTGGGGAAAATCTATGCTGGGTCCAGGGCTTTGTCCAGACTGGTAAGTATTAGAGATTGGGGTGGGGAGGGATGACCCCTCTCTCTCCCCTTCCTCTTTGCCTTTTAACATATTGCATGTGGCATCTGTCTCATCCGTGGGTTGGAGGCAAAGCATCAGCTTTAGTAATGGTAAAGCTAAATTGGAGAACAAGTCTTGGGTCTGAGCCAACATGGGACATTACCCCTGCTTTCACCGAATTGAAAATAACCTGAAAATCAGAAAGGGCCAGCTTATCTTGCAAGGATGGAGCCATTCAAGGGAAAAGCAGAAGAGAAGCAACAGGCTTTGCTTCAGCAGCCTTCAGTGGAGGCCAGCTCTCCACTTGCTTAAGTCAGGCTGTCTATGGGGGCAGGAGGGTGGGGTGGGGGCTCAGTCTGCTCCCTACTTCTGAGGAACTCAAACCCTGCCTACTGGTAACATGGTGCAGAGGATGCTGGCCTCAGTCATGGACACAAATGCCTGGTGCAGAGTTGATACCCAGTACATGGGGATGTTAGTAAAATAAATGATCTGTTCCGTTTTCCCACCCTCTTCACCCAGTACTGAGCTCCCCAAATGTAGGAACTATGAAAACCAGAGCTGCTTCCAGATCCCTCAAAATATTTAGTTGTCATAAAGAGAAACCATCATTGATGGAAGGTGGCATAAAAATCAGGAGTGGCATTAATGTCTGCCCCCACCCCCAGGGCTGGGATTGGAACTCGTGGCCTTGTGCTTGCCTGGCAAGTGCTCTGCCACTGAGCCATACCCCCAGTCTTCCTGCTCCCTTTTAATATCCTGCTATTTTTGTTTGTTTTGTGGTACTGAGGATTAAACTCAGGCTTGTTCTTCCAGTAAGCTGCACCCCCAACCCTTTTAAAAACATTTTTGATTCAGTCTCTACATTGCCCAGGTTGGCCTCAATCTTGCAATCCTCCTGCCTCAGCCTCTCAGGTGGTTGGGATTAAAGTCATATGCCACTCCTGGCTTGCCGTTTTTCTCAGAAAATATCTGTGTTCTGACTTTCAGAAAAATGTGACTTTGCAAAAGAATTCTGTCTTTTTATATTGTTTGTTATATTAGTCCCTGAGATTTCAGATATAACAGTAAAAACAAACAAGTAAACAAAATCCACTTAACTGCATAACAATGTTGCAAAATAGCAGTGGAGAATGTAATTTCTAAATTAAATCATCGTTTTTCTTTCCTGATTCATAAGCTTGAGAAGATGGAATGATACATACAGTGGGAGAAACTTCCTGGGTGGGCCTAAGAACTGACCTGCAGTGCATGTTGGTGCTCAGCCCAGAACATGCAGCTTGAGCTGGTTTTCCGTCTTGGTTCCATCAGGCCTGTGGGCTCCTATGAATCTGCTGCCTCACTTTACATCCTTTGTCCAGCAGAGGGCGCGTATCTTGTCCTACCACAGAGAGGATTTGGTGGGGGAAAAAAATTGTTGCTCAAAGGCTTTTACAACTTTTTCCTAGGCTCCAGATAATTATGGGTGCCAGAATTTTGAAGGTTGAATGAAAAACGCATTGTGCTCATAATACTTTCTGTTCGAAGAGTGCTTTTGTATGGGTTTCCAGAGTATTTCCTTTGTATCTTTTTCTGTGATTCTCATAATCACCAAACAAGTGGTGGGTGAGGCAGATGCCAGTTAGCTGACACAGGAAGAGATGTTGGTGTGGAAAGTCTTGCTAACCTGCCTCTAGTCCCAGGTAGTGGCAGCTCTTCTGGATCCCTACCTTTTGTCGTTCCAGATTTGTGTCTTTAGGACCAATGCATAGGATTTTCCCTCTTCTGCACTAGGGATTGAACCCAGGGGTGCTTGCTCTACCACTGAATTATATCTCTGGCCCATTAATTTTTTTTTTTTTTTTTTAAATTTTGAGACAAGGTCTTGCTAAGTTGCCCAGGCTGGCCTCGAACTTGCAGTCCTCCTGAGTAGCTGGGTTTACAGGTGTGTGCCACTGCACCCAGCTTGGATTTTTGAATGAGCCCAAGGTAAAAATAGTCATGCATAACTTAAGACCCTTTTGACTGCATGTGTTAGAAAGCTTACAAACTAGTCTAAACAAAAGGAAATTTACTGGTATAAATAAAAATTGTAGGGTAGAGACCTACTTGAAGTGTGCCTTGATTCAGGTTCAATGACAGCTTCTTTCAATGTTTTTCTGTTCTCTTCTCTGTCTTAGCCCCATTTCACAGCCAGGCCATCCTCTCTTAGGTGTTATCTCCAGGCTTACTTTCTTATAACTGAACTGGAGACAGTCTTACTAGTAGTTCCTGTATGAGTTCCAGGTTTCCCTTAGATTCAATCAGTCAGGGCCATTGCCTATCCCTAATCTTAAAACTAGTCGGGAGGATGGAATTACGTTGATTGGCTGGCCCTGGATCTTGCTTCCTGAAACAACTGCTGTGGATGGAGAGGTTGGGAACACTGATTTACTATCCCTGGCCATAGAGGGTCCCCACCTGGATCCCATAGACGAAGAAGAGGGTGTGGCAGATTCTCAATAGAGAAACCATAACAACAACCAAAAAAGGGACAGGGATATGAGGTGGGCTAAAGTCCATTGTAAATATCACTCTTGCGTAGCTTTAGGCAGATGGGGAGTCCTGTAACCTAGAACAATGTTTCTCGAAGTGTGATCCACAGGTGCACTGATCTTTGAGTTCCTTGTTACCTGTGAGAAGATCGCGCCAGGACATACATCAGCTTCAGCACTAAACATACTTGTTTCATTGAGTGTCTGTGGCTGCTGCTTTTTAACAGCAGAAGAAGGAAATAGTGCATTGATTTACATGTTGTGTGAGCTCCTTCTCTTCTCCTGTACCAGCAGTGGAGTGACTTTGACCTAAGAACAGCCTTCTTTAACCAGCAAAGAGAAGCCACTCAATTTAAACTCTTTGAACCAAGGGAAACAACCCAATTCCAAATATGCCCAATTAGAGTAAGAGGAAGATGGGTGGGAGACACTTACTATTGTTTTTTTTTAACAAAAGGACTCAATCCAGCATCTTTTCTTTGTTTTTGAAGTTCTTTGTTTTTACACAGTTGCTTCCTAGGGTGGGTAAACATGAGGCATTGGTACAGTTTGTGTTGGATAGAAAACAGACATCAATATGCTGCTGCCAAGCTGTCAGTTTAATGAATCCATAAGGAATTAGGGGGAAAATACTTAGTTAAAATCTGTGGGTGTGTTGTTATGCAAAACACTTTCAAGGTAGCTCTCCCATGAAGACTCCGTGATGTGGCAAGGCTGTGAAGTTCAGTTCTGATGTGCAGTGCCCAGGAGGAAGCTAGGCAACCTCTGCAAGGGCCCTGTGGAAAGAGTTCTTTGTGGATTTTTCTCCACCTCGAACTCACAAACAAATGATACGTAGAGTTAAATATTATTTTTGTGGTTATCCATTAAGAAAATATTTATTTGGGACCTACTGTGTGCTGGGGCTTAAAGACAAAGAAGACCTGGTTCCTGACTTTGAGGAGCCGGAAGGGATGAGAGGCAATGAGAGATACATGGCTCCCCACAGGGGCAGCCACCATGAATACTCAGTGTCAAGCATGTGCTGGGTGCTTCCTGTGTTGCCAGTTTGGGTGTCATATGATGTTGAACTTACTCTCCCTTCGACACAGCTGATTCTGACCTGCCTGCCCATACACTGCATGACGTCACAGCGGTGATGGCTCTGATGGTATGAGTGCCAATCTTTGGACAGCATAACTTTGACGTTTCATTGTCACTCTCATTATAATTTTCTGCCTTAAGTCTTCTCCCCTACTCTGGGTTGCTTCAAAGCCTGTGCTGGAGAGTGTTTAGGACAGATGTACAAATTCCTACATGAGTGAGCCTGCTGGGGAAAGGCCATGGTGCTGGTGATTCACCTGCTGCTCAAACCATGTCATTCTCTTGCTTAGGGAAGGCCAGGGTCAGCAGTTGGAGAGTCTGTGCAAATCTTGGTTAAGGCACCTTGACAAGGCTGGAATTGGTTTTCTTGCTGACCTCTTTGAACTTGATCTTTCCTAACTGCTTGTCATGGTTTGTCTCTTGCATGAGCTCAGCAGCCACTCAACACATTGTGGGTGGAGATGAGATGGAGGGAGGTGTTGATGAAGGACATGCATCAATAATTAAATCCATTTGGAGTGAATTACTCAGTTAAGCAAGATGGAACTTGTGGGTCTCCTCTGCCTTTGGTTCCAGTATCACATAAAGGGACTTGGATCCATAAAGGAAAGAATCTAAGTGTTGATGTTGAAAGGAGAAGCTGTCCTCCTCTTACTGCTGAGTAGGGGTTGCTTTTCTTTTTTCATATTGTTTTCTCATCAAGGCTGTTGCAGTTCAGTCAATCTACAAGGATTACTTTGTTCAATCTACACTGATTACTTTTTAAAACATGGGCTTGGCAGCAATTCAGTAAACCCCTCCCAAGATTTTCATTATCTTCTTGCTACATCTAAAAGTGTTTCCCATAATCTTATAAAAGATTATGGACTCTGGGGAAAATATTTATGACATTGGATTTGACAGTAATCTCTTGGCTATGGTACCAAAGGCATAGGCAACAAAAGAAAAAAAATAGACTAACTGGACTTCATTAAAACTATAAACTTGGGTGCATGAAAGGATACTATCAACAAAGTAAAAAGGCCACCTAAAGAATGAGAGAAAATGTTTGCAAACTACTTCTCTGATAAAGAAACATTATAGAGACTATAAGGAGAACTCTTAAAAATCAACAGCAAAACCCAAACAATCTGTAATCCCAGTGGCTCTGGAGCCTGAGGCAGGAGGATTGTGAGTTCACAGCCAGCCTCAGCAATGGCGAGGCACTAAGCAACTCAGTGAGACCCTATCTCTAAATAAAATACAAAATAGGGCTGGGGATGAGGCTCAGTGGTTGAGTGCCCCTGGAGTTCAACCCCTGGTACCAAAACAAACAAACAGAAAACACAACAAACCCAAACAACTTGATTAAAAAATCTACAAAGGACTTGAATAGACATTTCTCCA